ACTTATCCTGAATTTTCTAATGGGCTATGATTATAGGCGAATTTTAATTGTGAATTTAGGCTATTTTTATTTCCTGGAATCTAAGTATTGTTTCCATATATTTAATGAGAATGCATCTGAAAGCTAAATTGAAATTTTGGGCATAATGTAAATAATCTAACTTCTAAAGTCAAATAGACCACTGGATTCAGTGCTAACTCCAATTCAAGCTTGGTTTGGTGTCTTTAAATTTATGTGATTGTTAATTCTTATTAAAAAGTAAAAGTGATAATAATAATAGCAATAATATTACTATAGAATTATACCTAACAACACTTAAGAAAATGCAGAGGAAATATTGACACTTTCAGTAGATAAAAGATTTAAATATTTTATTATTACTATTGTTTTGAGTTAAGTAGTTCTGGTGGCATAGTGGGTTATTGTTTGTTATTGTCAGCAGTTTGAAACCACTAGTCACACCACATAGAAAGATGAGGCTTTCTGCTCCCATAAAGAATTGATCTCTGAAATCTAATACAGGGGCACTATGAGTCAGACCTGATTTGACAGAACATAACCAGCATTATTTATATTAATAAATAATGTCCTGTTGCTCTTGTGGTTAAGTGTCATTGAGTAAAAACCTACTCATAGTGACCCTGCATAGGATTTCTAAGGAACAGTTGGTGGGTTTGAACTGATGACCTTGTGGTTCACAGCCCAGTGCTAATCCTACAACAACACAAATGGAGTTCACATCTTAGTAACAAATAAATCAATGGTCATGTCCTAGTAACAAATAAGTCAAAATCCATGCTCTGTCTAGAAAAAAAAGTGAAAACATTTTTAAGCCTCAAATAGGGCCACTAATTCAATTTCAAATAGCTTTCTTGACATTAAGGGATAAGTTTATAATATCATTTCTTTTAGGAATGGGCCATGGGATCCAATATAATTTAAAACAAATCACTGGCTTATTTATTATTTATTAGAAAGAAAACCCTGAAAACCCAGTTTAAACTTTTGAGAGCTAAAAGGAATTTGACATTTTTAAACTATCGGGCAAGGTTTTATGCCTATTAGTTGCAAGGCACCAGGATATTAAAATAAAGGACATTGGTATTCTCAGTCAAGGACTTATTATTTTGTGTATTGCAAAATGAATTGGGGGTGGGGGGGACAAAAAAAAGCTAAACCAGTAAATGATAGATCCAAAAATCAGGAATTTCCAACATTCCAGCCAAAGGTCAACAGCAAAATGGTGGAAGAAAAATCTAAGCCAGTTATATTTGTGAAATAAATAAATAAAATAAAATAACTCCAAAATATATTAATCATACCTAGGATTTTTAAAAAAGTATAACAATGACTTATTTAATAATATTGTTGTTGTTAAGTGCTGTCAAGTTGGTTCTGACTCATAGCTACTATATATAGGGTTTCCTAGGAGTGACTCATGAGCTTGAACCGCTGACTTTGCAATTCAAACCAACCTTGAAGTCCAGAGCATTTAACCACAGAACTAATAATATTATATTCTGTATAATCCATTAAATATAAATAATCTTTATTCTCATGATATTACTACCTAATATGTCACAAAACCATCTCAAGATAGCATGATCTCAAGTGTTTATTCTTTTGAATAAACATAGAAAATTGTCTATGAAAACCAAAAGAACTTACTGTAAATTCACATATATGGGAGTTAGAATATGTTTTTAAAAGTAGATATTATGTGTACAGAAATTGGTAGGGTCATCTATAAGCTACATTACAGGTTATTCATTCAAGTATTAGGAATAAAAGAAAATAAAAGGCATCCAATATTGCTGTAATAAATTGATGTTTTGTTTCATTTTACGGATAATGCCCTTGTCTGTAGGTAGGACTATCACAAATGTCTTTCTGATGCACTCAAGAAAAGGAAAGAAGGCATAAACATGAATGTTAAATGTTTAATATGTTTGTATGTTAAATAACTTTATAAAGATAAACTTTGTTGTTTTTATTGTTAGTTGCATTTGAGTTACATCTAACTCATGGCAACCTTATGTACAAGCTTCAAAAAATGTACGGACAAGTTGCATTATATTTTAATTCTAGTTTTTTTCATGGCTTTTTTCATGTCTCCTCAAGTAACAGAACAAACTCCTGAACCATCTTGATGATTGTTGGTTTGTTTGAGTCCATTTTTGCAGCCTTTATGTCATCTTATTCTCTGAATGTGGAAAGAAATGATGGAAGCTTTCGCTCATTGCCATCAATCAGTTCACATACAGTTTATTTATACAGATTAAGAAATGCTGTTGTTGTTATGTACTATTGAGTTGGTTCCAATTCATAACAACCCAGTATAGGCTTTCTAAGGTGTGTGGTTATGATTCCAGTGTTTATCCTACAACACCAAACCAGGAGTCTGCTTAAGAAATAGGATTCAGGATAATGAGAAAGCACTGAAGTTTATAAATACTGAAGTTGTTCTGTGGACCCTCAAGTCAGGTCAGATTCATGGTGACCTTGTGTGTATAGGATTTCAAGATCAGTTAGTGGGAACTGCAGACCTTGCAGTTACAGATAAGTCCAGTGCTTATCTGATACTGCTGTGCCAGGGCTCACTGTTTATGGGAAAGCAACTAATGAATTTGAATGGCATATCCTGGTGATGCTTTTACTACAGCATCACCAGGACTTCCTAAACACAAAAAGTTTGTGGAAATAGATGGCATTCCAGAGGCCCAGTCTATCAGCATGCCTTCAGTTTTCATCAAGCAAACCACTCTCAGAATTCCTCATTGAAGTCATCTCGATTTTGTATCTTTGTTTCTTTTTAAGTATCAGTGGGAAAAATGAACTGCTTAATATATTATGATGTACTCAACTGATTTATATCTGAGACATTCTATACAGATTCAGATATGATTTCCATGGAATTGAGAAGTCTCTTCATAAAGTCTTCTTTTGTTAAGCATCATTATAGTTCCTTTATTATTACGATTTAGCTATCTTATTTATGCAGTGGCGTAAAAGTAGGTACTTCTCTGTGATCTGACCTAATCAAATTCTAAAGCATACTTTATTGAGTATTTCCAGAAATGCTTTAATCAAGTTCCTAAATTATCACAGGGAGATTTGATTAAATTGGTTTAATTCTGGTGAACATGTTAAAATCCATGTCTTCATCTTTCTTTCTCTTTTAAAAATATCAGTATATGTGAGGAATTTATATTCATTTCAAAATATCCACATGGATTTTTGTTGGCAGCTTCAGAAATAGTAAGTAGCATTGATCAATATATGCCTTTCTGTTACTTTTATAACAAATAATACACACATACTGCTTATTGCCTACAAGAAAAAAGCATGTCTTCATTGAAAAATGATATATTTGCTGAATTTTTAAAAATTCAGTCAAAGTTGATCAAGTTTTTAAAATAATGTCTGAGATTTAATCTCTAAACCTTTAACATTTCCTCAAATTTAGAAGTTCATATAAGAGTTCATCACATGTCTGTCAGAATGTCTATTTATAATTTCTAAATGTGTCAGCCAGAACTGAAAAAGATGTGATGAAAAATAAAAAATGTTTATCATACACTCAATCCTGATTTGAAGCAGGTGTCACTTCCCTATTTCTTGTTAATGCATTCCCAGCATTTTTTTGTTTTGTGTTTTTGAAGATCCATCATAGAATTATAAGAGTTGTGTCCACCGGGATTTACACCACTTGTTCAATCTATTTATACCAAGTTAATTAAGTGATAATCCCAAAGTATCAGAGGACACATGAAGTAATAAATGCCTGCTTCCCTCACAGACACACTGAGACCACATGGTGAGAAGTCACAGAATGGAAGACTGTTTTATTACCTAATGTCAATTTTGTGTATGGGGAATATTGCTATTAAACAATCTGTTCTCTTGTATTTAGAGGTTGATTTTTTTTCGATGGATAAATATTCTTTTGACAACTGATGTGCTGTTTCTAAAGGAAATTCAAGCACATATGAAATGTTACAATTTAAGTAAAGATTAGCCCTTACTTAGCAACTTTATCAAGTCCATTGCCAAAATAAATCAAAATACAACCTCATTTTCTAGTTGTTAAATGATTCCCAAGAATGAATAAAGAAAAATCTCCAAAATGATATTACCTTGAACTCAACATTGATCCTACACACATACATAAACATATGCAGAGAGAGAAAGAGAGAGAACACAAAGTGCCTATTGATTAATTTAACATACTCTGCTGTCTGTTTCAAGCCCTGGTGTGGCACTGTAGGATAAGCACTGGACCACAAGGCTGGTTTAAACAGCAAGGTGGGCAATTTGAATAAACTAGCGGCTCCTCAAAAACCCTGTACCGGGTCGCTATGAGTTAGAGCAGACTCAATGGCACTAATCAACAATGAAGCCGTCTGTTTTAATGACTATTAATCTCATCTATTTTATTTAATTAGGACTACAGACTTTTTTTTTTAATAGAAGAAGTTTTATTATCTTGAATGCTGGTGCATACAAATAACAAGCTTAATTTAGAGGAAAAGAAAGAGGAGAGGAAATGTCAGATATTGAGGTGGATTTCTGGGCAGGTTAAAAACCTTTACACAGTTGATAGCTTTATTATTCACAGCCTTTTTAAGATGTACAACTTCCCTTTTACATGACAACATTCACCAACAGTTCTTATAATATTATGTTCAACTGAAATCCTTCTCCTGTCAAATAAGTGAAAAACAGAAGAGCAAAACAAAAGTCTTCTCTAGTGTTGAGTATTTAGAAATATTTTCTTTGTACTTTCACAAAACATAGTAACGTCTAAAGCTTTTAATTGTTGTTGTTAAGTGCCATCGAGTCGATTCCGACCTATAGCGACCTTGTATAGGGTTTCCAAGGAGCAGCTGGTGAGCTTGAACCACCGACCTTGCAGTTCAAATGACTTTGCAGTCTGAAGTATTAGTCCACAGCGCCACACCAGGATTCCAAAAGGTTTTAATTAAGGGGGACTTAATCTTTTACTGTCTAAAATGCGCACAACATGAATTTTCTCGAATTATAATAAAAATAACACCTATAAACAAAATTTCAGAAGCTTTTGGAAACACATATAAAGATACAGCACGTGGCATATACTTCTTGTGTGTGTGTGTGTGTGTGTGTGTTTTTCTTTTCATCATTTTGAGAAACTGATGAAAGCTAAACTTATGTTACACTAATACTTTTGATAATTATGACTTGAATAGATCACAAAACCAGAATTTCCAAAGTTATCTCAATAGACTTCCAGTCCAGAAAATTCAGATATCCTGTGTCCTAAATTGGGTATTTTGGTGTCTTTTCTCATCATATAAATTATCTATTATATTAGCAGTTCTTCTATTAGCAGTTTGTCTTGATTATTCCTTTTTCTTGCAAAACCATCCCTTACATCGAGGCAAATAGGAAGGGATCAATCCCCCAATGCAAGGATAATAACAAAGGCAAAGACCTGGGTGTTTCAGGACATGCTTGGAAACTGGTTTCTACAGTCCTCCGATCCTTTTTCTTTCTTAATGATTCTCTTTCTTTCTCACAATTGTGCAGTCACGGTCCTATTCGATTCTGAAAAACAAACTAAAACGATTTTTTTGAAGTTCAACTTTTCCATTGGCACAGAACTATTTCGAATGAACCCTTAAAATTAATAGTGTGTGAGTCTCTCCTCTTTTAACAACCCTGACCTTACTCTCAACAATTATCTCATCACAGCCAAGTTCTTTTGTCAGACGGTTGACCACTATGAGGGAAAAGAGCTCTTTGATAAAAGCTAGCTGTTCAAACGGGGTCTTCTCGTAATGCATCTGGAAGCCGCCATCCAGGGCTGCTTCTCTGGCTCTGGAAGTTTGCAGGAACACCTTGTTGGTTACTTCGAGGGCTGCGGAGACCTTGTAGCCGGCCCCGCTGAGCTGCTGTCAGTTCTAGAGACTATTGTGAGAGAAAAGATGTCTGAGCTAAGTTATGATTTAGATATGCCATGTTTGATTTTCTGATAGGAGTTATAAAACTATTTCCAAAAATTTATAACCTAGAAAAGTTGGTATTACGTTGCTGTCATTGTTGTAAGTGCCGTGGAGTTGGTTCCCACACATGGCGACCCTGTGCAGAGTTTACAAGGAGCGGCTAGGGAGTTTGAACTGCCAACCTTGCAGGTCAAACCCACCTTGCACTCTAGGGCATCATCCTGTGGCTCCACCCCAGGACTCATCAAATTACATTGTTATTGTTGTTAAGTGCCAGCGAATCAGTTCCCACTCATAACAACCCTGTGTAGGGTTTCCAAGGAATGGTTGGTAAGCTTGAACCACCAATCTTGCAGTTCAAATTGACCTTGCAGTCCAGCACATTAAACCACAGCGCCACACCAGGACTCAATTTAATTACATTGGGAGTCATCTAGTCTCCTGATGAAATAAAGAATTAAAATGAAGTGTACTAAAAGGTAACTACACTGTAATCCTATTTTAAAGATGAAGAACTTCATTTACAACAAATTTGTTGTTGCTGTCAGGTGCCATCGAGTCAGAACCGACTCATAGCGACCCCATGCACAGCAGAACAAAACAATGTCCGATCCTGGGCCAACCTCACCACCGCTGCCACACTTGAGTCCATTAATGATGCCACCTGGCCAATCCATTTCGTTAGGGGTCTTCCTCTTTTTCTCTGACCCTCCACCTTACCCAGCATGACATCCTTCTCCAGCGACTGTTTCCTCTGGACAATATGTCCAAAGTAGGAGAGATGAAGCTTAGCCATCCTGGCCTCCAAGGAACACTCTGACTGCACTTCTTCCAAAACAGATCTATTGCTTCTTTTGGCACTCCTAATGCAATACAATGTTTGATTTCTTGACTGCAGTTTCCTTGAGTGTTGACAGTTGGTCCAAGAAGAAAGAAGTCCTTGACAACACCAATCTTTTCTCCGCTGATAAGAATGTTGTTTATTGGTCCAGTGCTGAAGATTTTTGTTTTCTTTATATTGAGATGTAATCTATACCGAAGGCATTGCTCTTTGATCTTCATCAGTAAATGTTTTAAGTCCTCTTCACTTTCAGCAAGCAAGATTTTATCATCTGCATATCACAGGTTGTTAATAAGTCTTCTCCAATCCTGATGCCATGTTTTTCTTCATAGAACCCAGCTTCTCAGATTATTTGCTCAGCATACAGGTTGAATAAATATGGTGAAAAAATACAACATTGTTGCATACCTTTTTAAATTTTAAACCATTCAGTGTTCCCATGTTCTGTTCAAACAGCTGCTTCTTGGTCCAGGTACCGATTCCTCATGAGCACAGTTAAGTGTTCCGGAATACTCATACTTCACAATGTTGTCCATAGCTTGTCATGATACACACAATCAAAAGCCTTTGCATAGTCAATAAAGCACAGATATTCTCTGCTTTTAGCAAAGATCAATCAGACATAAGCAATGATTTCCCTTGTTCCAAGGCCTCTTCTGAATCCTCTGAAGGTTCTCTGTCAAAATATGATTGTAGCTTTTTCTGTATTACCATTAGCAAAATTTTACTAGTATGGAATATCAAAGAGATTGTCTCATGATTTCCACATCTGTTGGGTCACCTCTCTTTGGAATGGGCACAAATATAGATCTCTTCCAATCAGGCGGCCAGATAGTTGTCTTCCAAATTTCTTGGCAAAGATGAGTGAGTGCTTCCTGTGCCATCTCACTTTCTTGAAAGATTTCTATTTTTATTCCATGAATTACTGGTGCCTTGTTCTTTGCCAATTCCTTCAATACACCTTAGACTTCCTCCTTCAGTATCACTGGCTCTTGATCATATGCTACCTCTTGAAATGGTTGAACATCAGCCATTTCCTTTTGTACAGTGACTCTGCATATTCCTTCCATTTCCTTTTGATGCTTTCTGCATCGTTCAATAATTTTCCCAGAGAATCCTTCTAAATAAGTCGAGGCTTGATTTCTTCTTCAGTTTCCCCAGTTTGAGAAATGCTTAGTGTGTCCTTCCTTTATGGTTTTCTTAATCTAGATCTTCACACGTTTGGTTTTAATATTTGACATTATCTTTTCAAGCTGATCTTTGAAATTTTCTGTTCATCTCTTGTACTTCCTCATTTCTTCCATTTACTTTAGCATCTCTACACTGGAGAGCAAGTTTCAGTGCCTTTCTGACATCCATTTTGACCTTTTCCTTCTTTCTTGTCTTCTCAATGACTTTTTGTTTTCTTCATGTATGATGTTCTTGATGTTGTGCCACAACTCTTCCGTTCTTCCATCTTTAGTGTTTAATGTACCAAATCTGTTCTTCAGATGATCTCTAAATTCAGGGGGGATATAGTCAAGGGAATATTTTGGCTATCATGGATTGGTTTTTATTTACTTCAGCTTCAGTTTGAATTTTCCTGTTACCAATTGATCTGTTCCACAGTCTGTCACATGCCTTGTTTTGACCGATAGTATGAGCTTTTCCATGATCTTTTTCTGCAGATGTAGTCTATTTGATTTCTTTGCATTCCATCTGTCAAGGTCCACATGTATAGTTGACTCTTCTGCTGTCTAAAGAAGGTATTTGAAATGAACAAATCATTGATTTTGCAGAATTCTATCATGCATTCTCCAGCCTCATTTCTATTGCCAAGGCCATGTTTTAAAACTACTGATCCTTCCTCTTTGCTTCCAACCTTTGCATTCCAATCACCTGTAATGATGGATACATCGGGATTGCATGTTTGATCAATTTCAGCCTGGACAAGTTGGTAGAATTCTTCTATTTCATCCTCACTGGCTTTAGTAGTTGGTGCATTAATTTGAATAATAGTGGTATTAATTTGGCTTCCCTGTAGGCGCATGGATATTATCCTATCACAGACAGCATTGAAACTCATGAATCATCTTTATATGTTCTTTTTGACAATGAATGCAACACTGTTCCTTTTCTATTTATTA